TCCCGTGCTTGGCTAAGGTTTATCGAGAGATCGTCATCAAGCAGAGGTATAGCAGGCAAATTGAGTGTATAACATCGATGGCGCACTGTGTGTTATATGTGTTGTGAGCGTCTATAATCAGAAACTAGCAAACACTCCTATATCAATAGAAAGAAACAGACGGAGTGGACTTAGAATTCAAGCCACCTTAGAATATATGAAGTGTTGTGCAGACATTACAGTCGATGCAAGCGTTTTAGTCTGTAAGCCAACAATGGGGCTATTTGCAACCATTTTAGGCATGAAGTGACACGCATGCGACAATGACGATTCTATTTGCTGACTTGGCTTGCTTAACTGCTTTTTGGCGTATCGTATTACCTGGATGTCTAACCTTTATCGACGTAACCATTGAATACCTTTCTATCACAAGGCAAGGGCATTCCTTCCAAGCTCAGGGATCTGTCTCTGGAAGCGGAGGTTCTTCTGGAAGAGATGATACGTGGTACCTATCTATTAATTCTTTCTTTGCACATCAAAATGCTATACCAGAAAAACTACATGTTATGCATGTGTACAATTCTATAGTTGTAATACTGCATGCAGAAGAGAACTGAACATTATTTAATAGCCCCTGTAAATATGACTTACAAATACATGTGGGTTTTCCATAGCTGGACCACAATACTCAACAGGTCAACAGCAGGATTTCTAATTAAGGCGGTAAAGAATTGAAAACGACGCTGCTAATATATATACTGGGTGCCAAACAAATTCTGGCCGGAACACCCCGGTATACGTATGTATGTAAGCCGACCCATTGAGTAAGGTGACCAGGCTAATTTTTCCGCCAAAATCTTATTATATGTCTGATATAACTTTGCCAATAATGTTACGTTTTATATACTTACTCACTACCCACATCTCTCTCACTATTTACTTTAGATTTCACTGGAGAAGAGGACAAAGGCATGGCTGAAGAGCGTGAAATGGGGCCTCCCATGGATGAACCGCAGCCTCCTGCGGATGAACCGGAGTCTCCCGCGGATGAACCGGAGCCTCCCGCGGATGAACCCAGTTAGTTTACTTTCCATCATTGCAAAACATTTGTTTCTTATTCGTAAAGAAGCTCATTTTTTTGGATTACATTTGTTTTTTATTCCTCAGTTTTTTTTCCAAGCAGTCACCAACATATTCATATAGCAGTCATCCTCTACAAAAAGAAAACGTCTCACGTTTCTTTCTGGAAGAAAACGTTTCAAATTAAGTCATAAACAGGTTGACGGATTGTTGATTTTATATGCATTGTATTCTTGACTAATTAAATAACATAATTAAATGGCGATTATGAAAATACAAATTCTATAAATTTGGAAGTTAAGAGAATGAGGACATCATTAAAGTTTATTGAAGGTGAACATTGAGTTAACTTATACCTTATCTGCATTATTTATAGATAAATGCTAGAAGGGGCCTCTTTGTTATCAATGATGATCGCGTATTTGCATAGTTAATGACATTTATATTTAGCCAGTCGTAACGGTTACCATAATTTTGTGAATGTATGAGGTCACATACATAATTTCCAACTTTCCAACTTGAGTCGACATGGCTCGAAAAAGGGCATGGTCAGTCTTCCCTCGCCTGTTACATTACTCTGTTGTAAACAAAGCTGAAGTACATAAAGGGCTTTTAAGCTGGAGCTTTATATGGGCTGGTACGAACCTATTGACCCTGTCATTTGTCTTATTCTACAGATGAATACACTGTGGAAGGATATGAGACAGAACAGGCTCGCGAGATAGATGGTAATTATTGCATTGCACGTCTCTTGTATATTCTATTGTGCCATTTATCTTTGTGGTGGTAGGCAATGGTTTACTATCATCATCACCTGTCGTCCTCGTCGCGAGGTGCAGCATGTTAAGTTCTGTCTCCAGTACTGTTTGTCAGTCATTCCAGACAGAAGAATAAGGGGTTAATTCCCCTTACCGAGGTGTGTATGGCGAGATAATCCCTGGTCAGGTGAGATAACCATCGAATAACCACCGAGTGCACATGGGTTATCGCAATTGACAAAGGATTAGCTCACCATATGCACCGAGGATAAGGATTATTAAGGTATTTGACACAGATCCCTTCATAACAGATAAACGCTTCAATTCAGTGTTTATATTTCATTCATTTTTTTAAATTTTCTTGTATGTTCAAATGGATTATTCAAAATAAACTATTATATGGTGTTCAGTAGATAAATACTAAAGTTGTAACACCTGTCTTCTGTATAATGGTACGGTTCAAAAAGCTGTTATTCTAATCTTACAACTTATTTCGTATTATAGACAGCATTGCAAAGGTTGTCCAACGTTTTCAGTTTATTGATTCGAATTGACTTAACTTTTGACAATTTTGTTATATCATATTCGGTCACTATTAAGGTCATGTTTCATCGTCTTCCATCTCAGTTATGGACTGAAACAGGCTCTATACGGAACTGGACAACTCCGCGGTGATCCATGGCAGGCATACCCGAGCTACTTTCCCAACGCCAAGGTGAAGGCCAAACTTCCAACTATTGGCTCTGCAATTGCAAAACTCCATGTGTAGACAGAAAATAGACAAGAGGTGTGGTATGGTGTGCTTAAACTGCTGTAAATATTGTGTAGTGCAAAATGTTACATGGTTTTATTTCTTCTAACATATGATTGTTCTGTTATACCTACACCTGTTTCCCCAGTACATTGTGTAAAAATTTGATTAAAACTTGTCTGAAAGTAATTGTATGTGACATAGTTCAAATAATAACTAATCCAAGATATTTCCTACAATACTACTATGAAGTAAATTTATAAATAAACTTGGTCCCTTTAAAAGTGCTGATGTAAAAACCCGGACGTTGTCGTTGAAGCTTAGGTGGAATAGACAAGTGTTATTGGTGCTGCATGTTCAAGTATGCGGGTGCACCTTCTTTTCTTCTTTCCTTCCCTTTCGTAAGTACAGTATCTGGAGAGAAGGTGGCCAAGGTAAGGTGAGGTGAGGTGAGGTGAGGTGAGGTGAGGTGAGGTGAGGTGAGGTGAGGTGAGGTGAGGTGAGGTGAGGTGATGCTGTGAGGTGAGGTGAGGTGAGGTGATGCTGTGAGGTGATGCTAAAACCACCTGGAATAGACAGCTGTTATTGGTGCTGCATGTTTAAGTATGCTGGTGCACCTTGTCATCACTGTCATGTTTTCATGTCTTATATATCAGCTTTTCCTTTCTTACTACACGTTTAAGTTCTTAAATCTCTTAACATCTTTTAGAGAGAATCTATATTACAATGATAATTCTTCTTTTTTCTGTGAGGTGATGCTAAAACCACCTGGAATAGACAGGTGTTATTGGTTCTGCATGTTTAAGTATGCTGGTGCACCTTCTTTCTTCTTTCCTTCCCTTTCTTAAGTACAGTATCTCCAGAAGGTGGCCAAGATCTGTCATGTTTTCTTGTCTTATATTCAGGTTCTCCTTTCTTACTACACGTTTAAAAATCTCTTAACATCTTTTAGAGAGAATCTATATTACAATGATTATTCTTCTTTTTTTCTGTGAGGTGATGCTAAAACCATTTATATGCACTTTGGTGTTGCACTTTAAAAGTTGGTAATTGTTTGGCGTATGTCTTACAAACACTATCACAGTCTACCCGGGTACCAACCAAGATTTCCAACCAAGTATTCCAACTTCTTCATACTATGCAGAATATCTATACAGGGTCAAGGAGTTGGTTGGAAATTTGGTTGGTGAAATTTGATAGTGTTTGAAATACAGCTCAAACATTTGCCATTGTTGGTGTTTACATGTTATTAAACTTTCTAGAATGGTTGCAAAGGCAAAGTTAATACAAACTCTCCTAAGGTCACACCTACCTGATTTTTCCTCGCTTTTGCAGGAAACATTTCAATGGGCAAATCCAAATTAAAAGCAACGACTCTCGTTTAATTCTGCTTTGTTATCTACATTCTATATTCATAAAAATTACTCTATTGGTACTTTTTTGCCAAAATACAACATTTAGGACATAAACTTGGTAAAAAAAATTGCCCCAAAACAAATAGAGTTAACCAATAACTGAAAAAGACAATTTTCTTTTGCATGAGGCCTATCAAACAAATAACACCGAAAAATTAGACCGAAAATACAACTAATTAAATTAAGTTGGCTTAATTAGAACATTCCTTTGTGAAAGGTACTAAAGGGAGGTGACTGTGTCTTGTAACATCTTTGAGTTGACGTTAGGCCTTCTTATTGTACTCAACACAACATTCAATATAAGAGGTCAGTACTGTAATAGGAGAGTTTGTTATTAACAAGAAAACATCCTAACACACTGGTCCATAACAATTAGAAAAAAAATTCAAAGTCGAAATCCCTAAAACTTCCGAATTCGCCACACAATGTGATTCAATCTCCTTTAAACCATATACAAAACTTTTCAGTACAATTTTGGCACAACATTCTAATTTGAACGAAACCAACTTTCCAATTTAAACTGACCAGTGATCTAAGTTACTTTGGATGTCAGTCGTAACTGTGGAATTTGCTTCAGGACAAGACAAATTGAGTGGTACATGTGTATGTTTAGATTCTTCAAATGGCCTGCTTTAAAAGCAGAATTTAAAACACCGTTGATTGAACTTAGTGTTTGAAATCACTGCATATACACGACTGCCTGGTCATACTGTAAAAAGTCAACATCATGTATGTCAGAACCCCAGACATTGTGTCATTTTTGGCAACAAGACCTGTGATGATAGAGGCACGTGGATAGGTTAGCCTTACTTAGCCGGCAATATACAGGCTAACCAATGTATGTGAACAGGCTACCACTATATTAACGGCCAGTAATTGATTATTGATACTGGACATACTATCCTGCAGTTTGTATTTCTACTGCTATCATGAAGCAAATAATGGGTAATAAGCAATGTGTTAAGAAACATCATGTCGTTGCTGTCGCTGTTACTCAACAAAATCATTTTTGATATCTAACATCCGATATCGGAACATCTTTTTATCGACATTCACTAACACTTAGAATAAAACTTGCAACCAAAGTTTTCTGTTCTTGTCCTTATTCATCTTCAGTGTGACAGGATGATGTTGTGTGCATGGGTGAGGAAAAAAATTGTAAGGTTTATCAAATGTGTGTCAATATTACTAGTTGCAAAATGCCATTTCAAAAGATCCTTTTTTTTCTGTGAAATGCCACAAGGAAAATAAAAGTCTTTCAAAGATAGTATTAAAATACTATCTTTTCAATTTAAGGGGTAACTAAGTATCCATGTAAACTTTAATGGGGTATGATACCATATTTCAAAAACGATATGAAGCAGTTTGTAAAGTCTAATTTCCGGCCAACCGGCAGTACCATTACTGGCCGCTACGGTCGCTGCTGCACAAGACAATGACATCATCGCTAGCTATTAAATCAGAAGCACGATAGGCCCACATTTCCCACGCGGTTCTGAAAATGGAAACACAACACATGGGCTACATCACCCGGCATGCTATGTCATTGTGTACATGTACCGCCAGGCTACTCTAAACACGTCCACAAACCCCACACTATATGTTTTTGGCGCCGCCTCATGGGCGAGCCTAATGGTACAGCATTGTGTGCAGTTAGCAAGAAAACGGAATCTAAACGGAATCACCCAAGGCGGTTTACATGTGGTTTACCCCGAAGCCGGCTCCATGTGAACGCCCCGAAATCACATTGAAAGCGCCTCGATCCCAAGCCACTTCTAGAGGTGGTTTCCCCGCATCGCGATTTGCGTCTGAACGCCATGTGATTTCAATGTAACTTCGCCTGGTCATGGATTACGGGGTGATATTTCTTTTTTTATATGCAATACCAACTTTTACGTGGCAGCAACTTAAAGAGCAGTAATGGTCAAATAATGTGTCCGTTCTAGGGCGAGCTTCACCGCCTCTGGCGGGACCACGTCGGCATTCGGCCGAGATACGCTGGGAGGGGGGCATCAGCAAGCAGGTCGTTGACCTCTGACATTAATAACACGCCACCTTGCGTGTTATCATCAAACAGCAATAAATGTAGCTCAAGCGTATTGTGTTCGCACACGGTTTCACAGGTGTGTGTGGCACGTGGACCAGATGTGAGGAATGTGAGTTACCCGAATCGCGGTTTGGGTGATTCCGTATAGACACGGCCACAGTCCTACACAGTCCAAATTCCTGGAAACCCCTGGGGAAACCTTGCTGGGATGACCTACATTCTTGGCCTCGTTCACTATACACCCAGGGGAGGGTAGGAGTGATCTACTGAACTGTACAAATGTACGACATGTGTCTAGACTTAACAGGTTGCAAAGGTACATGTACAAAATGTATACTGCCAATGATGCACATAGTCTATTAAACTTTGTAATAACGATAAACAACTATCAGTATTCAGATGCAATTAAACTGGTGACAAGTAATATTTCATAATAACGATAGAAAAGTATTTACCTTGTTACCTGTAAGTCTAGACAGATACAATGCAGCTCGGGAGATCGCTCCTACCCTCCCCTGTGTGCATAGCGAACGAACCCTGGGGCAAATGTTATTTTTAACAAACTCATGACAGACCACAAGAAGGCTTCCCAAAAACATAAAATCATGACAGTGCCGTGCAAACAATAACCCTAACAACAACCACCGTCGCCATGGCAATGTATGTTTTCGTTGTCAGTCTTGTTAGCATTTTGAGCGCTGTCAGAGGGCAATTTTTTTTTTTCAAAATCAGGCAAGAATCATATAATGCGCGCGCTGATGTCATCCATAAAAATTACTGGCTGTGGCCTAAGGTATGAAAGAAGGGTTTTATATCTTTCAGCAGAACACCAGCCAACTCTGGAGTAAGTCATCGGTGTCCGGGTGTCAAATTTGACTCAGATTTGTATCGATCCAAGCAGAAAGGTATATTATAGGCATGGCCTATATCTGGACAGACTGCCCCCGAACTTCAGTCAACCCTTGTGTTCGGGGAGCCATGTTGGGGAGAAGGCTCTGAATGTGTGACAGGGGCTGTAGGTAGGATACAGAAAGGCCAGATTACTTACTAATACGAAGGTTCTTTTAATTTGAACATCCTTGCTAATACGTATTACATACACGACAGCACCACTAAGCTTGTTTCTGACCTAGGGTGGGACACTAGGGACCCAGTGCTGAGCGACCTTTGAACTGGCTCTGCCGCGCGTTCAGCACTGAAAACCGAGAGCTGAGACAACGTTCAGCACTGGAAAATTCCAGTACTGAGGGAGCTTCAGCTCTGGAAAATAGCCGTTCAGCACTGGAATTCCATTGCTGACGCAATTTCGACCGCTGATTCAGCACTGGAACACCAGTGCGGAGCCGGGCGTTACTTTTGTATACTAGTATTTGTCCTTCAGACCGTCAGGAACGTAACGCTCTTCCTGAGGTCGTATTCGTAACAGAAATCTCAACCTGACAACTTCGAGAAAGCCGTATTACTCCTGTACTTGATAAGATCTGATAATAAGGGCTCTGCGCACTACCCCCTGTAG